AATGCGAACATAAAGCAAAAGAAGGGAGAGAGGAAACTTCCCTAATTAAAAAGTAGGCGGTGGTGGAGATAGAGGAAGAACTAAAGCCGAAGTGTCATATGCTAAAAGTGGAAGTTACTTTCACTGAAGAGGCATCTTCGTGATCTAACTAGATATTGGATGACCTGTAATTATCAAAACTAAAGAAATTAAACATGGTTCCTAAGTTAATATCATAAATAGAATAAATAATGAAAAGAATTGTTGGGTTACCTCCCAACAAGCGCTTGTTTAGAGTCTATAGCTCGACTATATGATGGCTGATCACGGGCACCTAAAGAAGGCTTTTGATGCCTTATCCATCTTTCTTCTTTTGGATTTGATCCACTATTCATTTGATCTCCACACCTCTTCCTTGCCATTTTCAACATAATAAGACTTCTCTATTCCATCTGACTCCATTTCAACTATGTAGATTTGTATCTCCTCATCAGACTTAATCACAAAATCTGGACAATCAATGAAGTCGAAAAATGTGAGTTGTCTTCCTCCTTATTGATCGCCTCATCATCGTTTAGCTTTATTGTGATTAAATTTTCACTCATTTTTTGGTCTTCTTCATTTGTTGAACTCTCATCGGGTGGAATGATTGGTCCACAATCTATAACCAAGGGCAACGAAAAGTTGGTCCCCGTGACCCTTTCAAATAGATTGTACTCCCAATAATGAAATTCTTCCCAGTAATGCAATCTCCCAAAAGCATCTCGCCTTCATCCAACTTGACCAATTTTTCAAAATACTTTGCAATTACCTTTTCATGAAATAGAGGAGGACCATCTCCTACCAGTTTGAAGTCCTCATCCCAATTGTCAGGTATAAAATCTACAACGATCAGCATGTACCCTTCATGGTTTTCATCAATTGCTCGCTTCCAACACCTTAAATATTCTCTAAATATCAGAAGTTTCGACATGTAGAAATAAGAGTGCGAGGGCAAACATAGTCCAGTACAATGTATCGCGTAGCAATTATAACAACTCGGGTATCCTCCAAACATATCTTCATCATCTGTGTAAATATTATCCATTGCAAAGTTTCATTACCTTACCAAGTCAGAATCACGCATTTATCTGAAAAAGGATAGGGAGAAAATGCAAACACGAGATAAATTAATAGTATGGGGTTAGTAAAAAATAAAAGTAATAAATAAAATAAAATAAAACAAAATAAAAGTTCGAATTCATGTCAAAGTAAATAAAATCAAACTAAGTTAAATACCCGGCAACGGCGCTAAAAACTTGTTCATCGAAAATATGCTTCGAATGAAAACTACCGCAAGTGTACGGATCGTTCAAGTAATAAAATGGATTTTAGAGTCCAAGTATCGTTCCCACAGAGATTTACTAGTTCGATTTTACCTATTCTGACCTTAACCGAAACGTAAAATATGGTTGAGCTTTGTAACTAAATTGTAGCTAAACTAAATGAAAGCAATAGTAGATGAATTAGTTGATTTAAATGCAAATTATACGATGAAATAAAAATTGAAGCAACTCATAGAAAAGAAACGCACTAGGTTTGCGAATTCCCATGCAATGATCCATTTTAACTCTAGTTCTACAAAATTGACAACATGTTTGAATTGATGAAGAATCAATGTTTCTAACCTATTCAATAATCTCTCTCGAGTAGAATTGAACCTATTCTCGCATACCATTTGACTATATTTCTATGATAAATGCAATATACAAGAATGCATGACGTTTTGTAAACACTTAGAGATTCACATAGAACATAGCGGTATATTTCTATCCCCTATCGGACCCTACGATGATTTATACCTTGTCGAGTCTATTACCCTTCTTTCGAATGCCAAAAATAGGCCACCACACTCATACAATTATTGCGCATATAATTGTAGAGAAAAAAAATGTATATAAAATCATTCAATAATTCAAAACGCGTTTTAATGTCAACAAAGTAAAACTAGAAATTAAAATATCACATCACAAGATTCATCGTTCACCGAGCACATATAAATCTAGCCTAGCATGGAGGAAATAAGAAAATCAGAAAAATAGATAAAGAACGACATCAACCCGAATAATCTTGAATTGAATCTTCGAGTTGTAATGTTATTCTTCTTGTTTGTGCCTCTTTTTCTCTCTGAAAACTTTCAAAAATTTCCTCCTAGGTCTGCTTAAGGTTTGAGGATGGCTTAAGAGTTTATATAGTTGTTAAAAGATTGGTTTCCATAAGAGTTGGAACGAAATAAGGAAACCAGAATTTTCGCGACCAGATTGAACCATGCGACTGCATGATATAAATCCATGGGATAGCATGGTTATACAAAATTTTTACTGTTCAACTCTTGTAGATGCTTGTGTGACTGCATGGGTTTTCTACCATACGATTGTATGGTAGAACTTGTTTTTCCTTTAATTCACTTTTGTCCTCAAGTTGGTTTCATCCACATTTTGGCCTTAATTTCTTCTCCTTCTTTTTTTAACATCCCATGATATCACCATATGTTAGTTAGCTCAACCTCATGCTTGATTCATCATTCGGGTCATCTTTTGAATAATTGCATTTTGGTCCTTGGAGTTTCATATTTTTTCATTTTGGCAATTTTTCGTTCATTTTCTCATACTTTTCATTTCATCCATCAATGTAATCCTACAAACACCAATTATATCGAAGTAAGTCATATTTCAACATATACATCAAAATTTTCCATGTTTTGTGACCTAAATAAGTGTGTAAAACACACTTATCAATTAACAAATTATCAAGACTTGAATCTACAGTTCTACTATTTGATTTATTAGAATATTAAATCAAATAAATAATAGATTCGCCATAAATGAAATGTATCAATGATATATTAAAAGTGGTTATGTTCAAAGTTGATAGGACCCCGGGCATAACACTTACATATTCTAGATACGTAATTATTCTCGATAAGTCTACCTATATGAAAATCAGGGATGGAACATGTCCTCAAAGTGGTTTGGCTGACTACTTGAAATGTTCAAGAATTAACCAGGATAAAAGAGACATAACTTATTCATGAGTCCGTTTATCAAAATTAAAAGATTAATTTTCAAGTTTGTGAACAGAGTAATTTCGATTAGCTATATAGGTCGCTGGTTCAAAGCATAGTTACCATGTCACCTTGTGTCATGATTTATTTATTTATTTTTAAATGGTGCAGGATTGTTCGAAAGATTTTTTAATAATGTCATTTCGACATTGTATTGTAAGATGGATTAAAGAGTTAACTTGAGTCATGGATCAGTAGTATGCAAACCTGCATAGTGGAATGTTGGCCAGCCGAGGCAGCAGCATGCAAACATGCAGCCACAGGTTGCAAAAATGCGGTCTGGGTGTGTCAAGCAGAGATTCCTGCTTGCATATTGAAAACAGAGGCCGCAACTTGTGCGATTTAAAAGAGCTTTGACACCTGCTCATCGTAAAAACATTTTAGGCTGCTTCTCATCAAATTTTGGTTATATAACTTAAATTTCAAATTTTATCCCACTCTAAGAAAATTTTGCATTCTTGTTCCTCCATTCTTCTTCTTCTTCTTCTTCTTCTTCTTCTTCTTGTTTAAAGTTTTGCTTTCAGTTTCACTTTATAACTTGCTTTGTGTTTGGAATACTGGAGAACTGGATTACAATTTCCTTATATATATTCGTTTACATCTTAGGCGTTGGGTGTATAGTTGTTAAGTGCATAAACACCAACAAACATCTCTTTGCATTCCATTGTATTGCCGAGGCGAATTTGGTGCACTCATTCGGTGAGGGCACAAATATTGTCTTAATGAGAGCGTTAACACGTGACTTAGTTCGATTTATTGCACGGCATTTTCTATCGATACTCTTATAGTCTGTCTTTGTGTAGTCCTTGTACAGCCAAAATTTTTAATGGGCGAGGTAGGGCGGCACGGGTGCCCAGCCCAACAAATTTTTTATTTTTTGTTCTTTTCAGTTTATTTTTCAAAATGTGAAATTGAAATTTAGAAAGCGTGACCTGCAGGTGTAAAGAGCTAGGCCAGCACAACTTGCTTTCCAGCTGACCCATGGAACTTTCCACTGGGTATTAAGCTAGTGCTGGAAGCCCAATTCATCCTTACACATCTCACAATGTGAAGTAGTCGTATTCATAACTTGATATATTCAGAATTTTTTGACAAAGATGCATTTGAATACATTGACGGCTTACGCAAAACAGTGATGAATGAGGTCCTTGTACGAAAGTAACACGTGATATCACATTCAAGCCTAAATATACAGACCACAGCCTTGTTCTGGACCAACCTTGTTTTCCCCTCTTCATTATGCTGATTATTCATGCTGGGATGGCCATCTTAAATCGATAAGCAGCATACAATAACTTGATTGACATAGTCAAGGGGACTAGTACAAGGTACTGACGCCGCTAAGATTAAATTTAATAGACATACAACCAATCACTTGGTCGACAATAAAGCCAGAACATCTATGAAACAGTAATATTCTGTCCTTCCAGCTAGAACGAAAAAATGAGTCCTGGCAACTCTTGCTAGAAAAGGAAAAATGTTAACATAATATCTGAAAAAATACAAGGAAATCAGACACTTGCGTAACTGTTTATCTTTGTATCCTCATAAAACATATCAATCAATTAATAACAGTTGTTTCTTTTGAATTCAGGATAAAAGAAGGTCTGCTTCCAAGCAATAATATCCAATCCCCGAAATTACCTGGGTTTTCTAAACATCTATAAACCACTAGGTAAGCCAAAGAAAAGAAATTGGTAAGGAATCTTGCAAAATTCTTTAAAGTATTCTCCATATCGTCTAAATTTACTGACTAATGACTATTTGATGCAAAAATGTCCTGCAAAATTTTCTCTCTCTGATGATCAAGAATCTTCAATACTTTTTCTTTAGTATTATACCCGATTTACTGCTTTTCTTTAGGAAAAATAGATGTTACTTTTCTCTTTTCTTGTATAGTGACTGTCTTCAATCTATATTATAGTCTACCTGTTAAAGTTGTTACTGTCAAACCATTGACACTGTCATTTAAGTCCCATGACGCAGGAACAGTCCACCTGAAAGACCTTATTCTAAAGAATCCTGGTTCTCCAGGTTCAGCTAATATTCCATGCTCGTCCTGTAGCATGGAAACCACTTCAGACATTGTTGGCCTTCCTTCGGCCCGATGCTGGACACACAACAGGCCAACTTGGATGCATCGAGAAATTTTAGTCTCATTAGATGACTCTTCTAAAAATGGATCCATCAGTTCCAAAGCGCGTCCCTCTTTCCACAATGCCCATGCCTGAAGAAATTCAATATCAAGTCCATGTCCAGCTGAATTGAACATTTTTCCATGTGCGAGCCTAATATACAGAAGTGAAAAAGAACTTATTGAGTAAATGTCTCACTTACATGACCAAGAAGATTATGCTCATGATCCGGATGATGGAAACCCCAATTCCTTTGGCCACTTATAATCTCTATTGCTAAAACACCAAAACTGTACACATCTGACTTCATCGAGTAGTGGCCATCCATCACATACTCTGGTGACATGTAACCACTGCAACCATGACAAAGGAAACACTTCAGGTAGTTTAATAAAAAATTTCCATAATTTAAAAAAGAATATTTTATATGTGTTAACTTTACTTACTGTGTTCCAATCACTCTCCTAGTAGTTTCCTCTCTCTCATTTTCGAAAATCCTTGCTAGACCAAAGTCAGATATTTTGGGATTCATCTCGTTATCTAGCAAAACATTACTTGCCTTCAGATCCCGGTGGATTATCCTCACTATAGATTCATAATGAAGATAATTTAATCCCTTGGCAACTCCCTTTAGAATACCAAAGCGCTTCTCCCAAGGCAGTAATATCTTCCTGGCTTCATCTGCAAACGATATCACATCAAAACGAATAAAAACAGAATATTTTCCTACTATGAATTGGTCAAGGCAAAATTTCTCTCAGTTGCATAGGATGAGGTTATGAAAATTTCTTAAAATGTAACACGAATGTACCGAATATAAATTGGTCAACACTCTTATTAGGCATGTACTCATAGACTAGCATTCTTTCTTCTCCTTGAATGCAGCATCCCAAAAGTTTAACAAGGTTTCGATGCTGAAGTTGTGCAATCAACGTGACTTCATTCTTAAATTCTTGGATCCCTTGATACGAATTCTGTGATAGCCTCTTTACAGCAATATTCTGTCCATCTGGAAATTGACCCTAAACAGCATTGATGTGGAACATTTTCAGCATCAGCATATCGGAGAAACTTCTTTTCTTACAACTGATAGTTACCTGATAAACAGGACCGAAACCTCCTTGTCCAATCTGATTATCCAGGGAGAAATTATTTGTAGCAGCAGAAATCGCGCTTATATTAAATAATGTTACATCTTGATCATCCTCCCCACCTCCTGCAGGTTCTATGTAAATCATGTTTTCTAATTGAGCTGTTACAAAGGAAATAAATCAGAACAAAAGAATTGATAGATTTAAGCATCAAAATCGGTACTCAAATGGCTCTAGCACAAAAGGAATGTTTCAATTTTTTTAAAAAAATTGTGATTTAGATTATCATCTTTATGGGAAATGACTAGAAAATGTATCTTTATTACTATAGGTGAACCTTTTGCAAACACTTTACAGAAAAACCCTGCCTCTAGAACGGGAGTAAAATGATATTAGTATGGCTTAATATAAGAAGTTTTACCTTGCCTCTTGGCAACCTTAAAATTGAATATATACCAGCTAACGACACACCAAACAGTCATCCCGAGAATTGCTGATATAAGAATGCTGGCAATCATGGTCACCTCTTTCTTCCTCTTAGCATAGGCAATAGACTCTGTCAAAGATAGTGATAGGGAGAAATCAGTGAAGGCATTGCCTTGTGTAGATATAAAAAAGATAAAATAAAATTATTTCATGATGCGAGTCAAAAAATTCAAGAATAACATCAATAGGCATGATGAAAGTTTATATCAGTGTTTATTTATTATTTTTCAAGATCCTTTTCAAAGGCCTGATATATGAATGAGGTAGCCTGTGCATTCAGCAATAATTACCAGTCGAATCCAATACTTTTATATCAGTGGGTTCTGCATGAATGAAAATAAAAAGGCAGAAAATACGAGCAAATGACACACAAGCATCATGCATGTATACCTGAATGCATAAGCTTCTTTCAAATTTCTATGATTGGCCGAACAAATTGAACTGTAAATGCAAATGGAATGATTAAAATCCATTGTTCCTAAAGTCCAGGTAATGATACGAATATTATTGATGAATGCATTTTTGGAGGCATTGAACTTTAGATTGTTGGTTGCATTTCATCTTTCTCTACAATTTGCAGACAATAGGTAAGACAATTCAATGTTCCTGAAGAAAATAAATTTCATCCCTAAATAATACACTTACACATGAATAAGTGCACATATTCCAGAGACGAATATCACACGTACTTTCTTTAAGCAAGTAGGATTCACATTCAGTTATAGTATAAGAACAAGACATTGACCATAATTATTAATAAAACTCGATACCTAATTCGCCATGTGCCATACGTACATAAAGCTCATCTCCACCACGAATAGAATATCGAATATCAAGCAAGTCTCCCAACCATACCACACATTGGCTGCCATTTCCATATATGTCTATATTAGTGTAAGCCATGCAAGAACATTCCTTCAAACAATTATCTTCACATTCCTGAGGGCTCAAATTCTTCCAGACAGTGAAATTATCAGGCAATTTCTGTCCTTTGTACTTCACAAAACCATCACCATTACTGCAATTTAGAGCATGGTGCCGCCTACATCCATCACCACAGTCCATGCCGCACCAGTCATTTGGTGATTTGGCTACAAATCCCTTTAGACACCTGCAGCCTGGATCCTCAGCATAGCAAATTCCATAAGGGCCACACGATCCATACCTGTCACAGATATCCTTATTCACAGTCACCAAAGGAACCCAAGCCTGGGCATTATTTTTCCATTTCAGGAACTGTATGGTGCCTATTGGATTCACCACCAGTCTGAGTAAAATAGAGTCATCCAACATTTCAAATGTAAAATAAACTTCATCAGAACTGAAATGATATAAAGACTTAAACACAGGATTATCCGTAATAGCATCAGTACCACTAAATCTATGCCCATCCCAAGGACCCCACCTGGACACTTGTATGTCATTCTTTTCCAGTAGCAATTGAGGTGATTGAGGTGATTTTAAGCTAAACACAAACCCACCATTTGATGGATCGTCATAAGATCTCCAGGATGTAATAACATGTTGTAAACCGGCTTTCAAATCCCAACCTAGCTTCATTCCTGGTAACAATGTATCAGAAGGAAATTCAAAACTTTGCCAAACAAACCCTCCATCTGACAAACTGTCACCATCTTTAATAACAAGATTGCCTGAATCCAGGAGCATCAGTTCTGGCCTGGAAGCAGGCTGTGCAACCTTACAAACCCAGGTCAAAGTTCTCGCATCATCCCGAAGCAATAGATCTCCAACGGAATTTAAAACAAGTCTAATCCTAGATCCATGCAATGACTTCATCCTGTTACCAACCCATACTACTGTTAATGGTTTGATTTCCCTGTACCATATACCCAAGTACCACATTCGATGGTTGTGATCTTTTTTCGAAGAAACATTGAAAAATCCCAGCTCAAATCTCTGATTGGCAGAGACTAAAGTCTGTCCATTCTTGAAAACCTGGTAAGGAGTTAAAGTTTCTGAACACGCAATCCGGACGTCAGAAACATATACAAAACAGATTATAAGTAACCAAAAAACAGCAGCCATTGACACGGGTTTTCTTCCGTTAGGTGGTGTATGTAACTGATGATGATTTTGTGGAGATGTTGATTTGTGTTCTTCTGGGGCTTTTTTCTTGGAGATGAGTATAAGGAGGGTATCTAATTAAACAGAGCGTTTCAAGAAAATAAAAGGTCCATTTTTCCGAACAAGTCCATTTCTAAATATTGACGCCCTGCACGAATGGGTAGTTATTTTCGCTTACATGGACAGAATTTAAGAGGAATTTGATATAAAGATGCGATTAAGGAATTGGTTTATAATCTTCACTTGTAAAACATTGCACAAGTTCTTAAAAAACTACCTGCAAATTGAATTCTACTCCCCCCAAAAAGTCATTTCCATTTTTCCTCCTATCCCCAGTATGTTTACTATGCAGTAATCCACCTTTCCAAATAAGCGATGAGTGTACAAAATATCATAGGAATCTCAGTCTGAATCTGAGATAACTTAACAAAAAATGTTGAGACTAAGACATGTTAATTGTGAGTTGGTAGTCAATTTAGACGAGTAGAAAATGAAGGAGGAGTTTTTCATAAGATTGCATTTTGTTGTTGATCTGGAAAAAGGAGAAGGTATAACAGGTATGAAAACGAAGAAGAGTCTTTAATGATTTTTGTATATTAGGACAAAGATTGCGTAAATGTGTTAACTGGATCCTAGTAATTTGACCCAGATTATCTCTTTTCTTCCTCTTCCTTTGTAGTCAATTTCATCATTTACAAAATTCGATTGATTTGTAAACTGCATTTAGAGTCAAATATTAATTGTGTTGAACAGTCATAATGATTTTCTAGTAAGTTTATATATTTTTTTCTTAATGAGTTAAGTACTTGAATGGTTATTGAACTTTGTCAAGTATTATTATTTAATAATTGAACTTAAAAATGTATCTCAATGGTTACTAAACTTCGCCAAACATTACTACTTCATAATTGAACTTAAAAATGTATTGCAGTGGTCATTGAATTATGTACCGTGTTACTCATCCATCACTCAAATGGAAAAATTCGTTAGGTTCAACAAGTGTTATCGACTTGAGTAATGGATGAGTAACACGGTGCATAGTTCAATGACCATTGAAATATATTTTCAAATTCAATTATGAAGCAATAACACTTGACAAAGTTTAGTGACTATTAAGATACATTTTTAAGTTAAGTTATTAAGTAGTAACAGTCGGTTAGATTTGTCACCTTTTTCTCTTCATTTTCTTTAGCTTCTTCTGTCATAGAGGTTGATTTGAGGAGAAAAGAAATTGTTACTATTTAATAACTGAATTTAAAAATGTATCTTAATAGTCATTGAACTTCGCCAAGCGTTACTATTTCATAATTGAACTTAAAAATGTATTACAATGGTTACTGAACTATGCACCATGTTATCCATCCATCACTTAAGTCGACATCGTTTGTTGAGCTTGACAAATTTTTTCACTTAAGTGATGGATGGGTAACATAGTGCATAATTTAGTGACGGATACATTTTTAAATTTAGTTATAAAGTAGTAATATTTGGCGAAATTCAGTGATCATTAATATACATTTTAAGTTCAGTTATTAAGTAGTAACGCTTGGACAAATTTTAGTAACAATTCAAGTAATTATCACTTTTGGTAATACAGGTTCACATTATAAATTCTCATAAATGCGTTATCATCAATTTGAATGGTAGAAATTGTCAAATCGTTTAGTCTATACACTTAACACATGTCAAGCTACTCAACCAAGTGGCAATGAGGTTCAAGGATGGGTCAAGAATTTAGTTTTGCGTTTGTTTGAGAGATATATTTCTTGAGTAAAAATAAAATTTTGGAAAATAATGGTTAAAAAGTGAAGAAAAGTTATTGAACCACCTGAAAAATGATTTATTTTGGAAAATGAGTTTTGAAAAAAAAAAATTTGAAAAAGTTTCTCCCAAAAAAGCTCACTTAAAGTATAAAAGTTTTGAAATACAGTAATAATTAAGAATATTAAAAATGTTATAATTTTTTTTCAATATATTAAATTGTTATTTATGAGTTCTCATATTTAGAAAATGCTACCCAATGACCTCATTATTAATATCATCATGGGTCCATTTATAAGTATGCTCCTCAAATTCGATATCAAACATCGTTACAATCCATAATCAAAATTCTTAGTATCAAATTTTTAAGAAGTTGTGCAACTTTAGTTTTAAAATACTTGATTCATGAACATCATCATTTTATATTGTAGGAAATATAGTTTTTTCTTTTAAACTTAATAAATAAAAAAGAATGAAACCCCATATATGATAAAACAGAAAGAAAATAAAAATAAAAAAACTTACTAGGATCGAGAAGGAAATGCACAGAATTTTGGAGTTTGGGCAGTTTATTGGAGAGGAAATGGCTATTATAGATTGTTTTGACTTCATTGCCCCCAATTTAATGCACTGCCCCTACTTTAAATCCGTAGGTGGTTCTGAGGGCCAATCCATAATTGTCTAATGAATTGGACTACTTTACTACTGATGTAGGGGTGTAAGCGGTCCCCTTTTTGCGATTTTTGACAAATCTTCAAACCAAACCGTTTTGACCGGTTTGAGAAAAGCTCAAACCTAAACCAAACCGTTTTGACCGGTTTGAAAAAAACTCAAACCTAAACCTAACGGTTTGGTCCGGTTTTAAACCGCCGGTTTCGCGTATATTTTTTTCCTGTCTAGTATCTACTTTTATGCCATTAATTCAATATATATTTATATCTTACTAGAAATAAATTTAAAACAAACTAAATATATTTACTATAAATTTAAATACCAACAAAATAAAAGTAAAATCACAATAAACTAAAGCATAGTTTTTTATTCGCCCTTTTGACGTTTTAGGATAATACTTTACGATAAAAATACAATACAAGTCCACTAAAATAAATATAAGGTCCAAAAAAAATAATAATGTCCATTTTCAACTAGCAAACAGAATAAACGAATTAATTTTGTCACAAACTCAAGAAACATCAAATTTTGTCACAAAATTCACAGAACTAGCAAAAGGAAGAAACATTCACATACTCAAGAAGCCACAGAACTCATGATCAATTTTGTCCTTCATACACAAAAAAAATTTTAATTAGCAAATTGGAAAAAAAAAAGAATTAAGACACGGATCCATCTAATAATGGCTTCCAAAAGACAAGCTACAAATATTTTTCTCCCATATTCCATTATATATACCCACCTTCATCTTTTGTAATTTAACACGGAACTATACATATTCTCTCATTGTAAACAAATGTCTTTTGCGCACCTGATAGCTCGAATTTCAATTTTCAACCTTACTCACGATCAATAAATATGTAAAGAAATTTCAACTAGAAAGTGACAAAATTTCAATTTTAAGCCTTACTCACGATCAAATAAATACGCAAGAACTTGAAATAGTCTAATAATATCGGCGAACGTACACTATCGGCGATTGGGAGGTTCGAGATTTCGAGGGCGTTGATGATTTGGGGGAAACCAGTAAGCGCCGCGGGGAGCGAGGCTGCGACCAGCGAGTTGCGAGTGAGAGAAATGAAAATTGGAAGATTAAGGTTGTGACTTGTGAGTATATGGATTTGGGTTGAGCTGTTTAGTGCTACTTCTTTCAAATTTGGGCCTTTTTTTAATATATAATTAGGCTTGGGCGGGTCGTAAATCTTAATAATTAATAGAAAATTAGAAATTGACAAAAATACCTACAAAATGACAAAATTATTCAATTTTAC